AATAATATAATATAATATAACATAATATAATATAATATAATGTGCACAAAGTTTTCTGGACTGTTGCTGCTAATGTAGACTAGTTTTTTTTTTACATAAAATTATTTTTTACATTTTGAAAAATATACATAAAATAAAATGTATAATAATGATAAACAAACAACCAAACAAACATATTAAATTATATTTGTCATCACATGTACAACAGTTTAAGTTGGAGTCTGGAGCCCTATATTAGTCATTGGGTAAAGACAAACAAGATGATTGACAAAAATGGCAAGCGTCTCAGAGCTCAGTGAACAGGACAGACGAGGGATAGGCTCTAAGCAATGTAACTTCCAGCAAGAAGCCCTCTAGCCCTGCGAATGTTTGTTAATTCTCCACTACAAACATTCTAGTCAAAAAAAAAAAAAGAAACATACAAAAAAGCACAGTCCCTGCAAGTCAGAGACAGGATTGAGAGTCGTGATGCTGCACTGAGAAATAAACTGAGCCCAGACAAGCAGCAGCAGCAGCATCATTAAAAGTGGGGGGAAAGGGAAAAAAAAAAGAAGAAGATGCCCCTGTGTCGGATCGCCATGGCAACCGCCTCTGCTGTTGCATGCCGCGGCGTCTCCTAATCAGCCCGGCATGTGAAATGCAAATGCAGACAGTCTGAGAATTAGTGGAGAAGAAATGGGGGGGAGTGGGGGAGAGTAAGGATGCAGCTATGTAAAATATTCATGCTTTTGCACAAGAAAAATGCCGGGGGTTCGATGGTCACAGTTTTTTCCCCCCATTTTAAGGGGGGCTGTCTGTCAGGTGAGATACAAGGAGATGGTAAATGACACACCAAAGATGAACGGCTGACACTTTTTTGCCTTTCACCTTCAGGAGCATTGTTTACATGTAGACAGGGAGGGAGGCAGGCCTTCCTGCAGCACTGCAAAAGCTGAAGGAAGTGCTGAATGGAGGATGAGTCGTGCCGGGCTTGTAAATAATAATAATGGCAGCTTTGGTCGGACGTGCCAGATCTATCGGAGGACTTCGAGGGTACTTCGATGGCTGACATCAGAGAGTGACAGCATATTACGAGGAAAGACTGGCAAAGCTTTCCATGCTTGAAATTCGCAAGCTGGTTTGCTGATGGTCTACTTGATGGACTACTATGAACTTGCTGTTCACAAGCATGAGAACTACAAATAAGACACTCTAATTAGATTTTTAAAAAATCGTCATAATTTACTCATCCTCTTGTTGTTCCAAACCTGTTTGAATTAAAAAAAAAAAAAACTTCTCATTGTTTTTTTGTACATACAATGAAAGTCAATGTCCAAAGTCGTTGTTTGGACACCACTGACTTATAATGTAGGGACAAAAACAGTTGGAATGTTCTTCTAAATATCTTGTCATAAGGGTGAGTAAATAATGACAGGATTGACATCTTGAGGTGAACTAGCCTGTTAAAGGACAACCACAGAATGGACGCTCTATGTGATATATTCACAAATATTAAGGCGAGGTCACATTTTGGCGAAATTTCGAACAACGAACAAACAACTTGAACTCGCTGCGAAATCTGAATTCCTAATTGCATGGATTCTTATAGCTATGACTGGATATTGTCTGTGAAAACTCGAACAATGTTAAATTTGACCACAACTTCAGAAGAATTAAATACCAAAGAGTGAGAAAGTGTGTAAAAATCTCTTGCGCTTGAAACATACCTCTTCAGAGTAATGGTCAGACGGTAGCGGCGGGTAGTCACACTGCTCAATCTTTTTACACAGCGAGTAGAGGTTCATTTTGTCCCCGTAGAATGGACTCTGCAAGGCGGCCATCTATGTGAGAAGAAAGAAATGTGAAAGGCACTTTCAGAGAGAAGGATGTTTGGTTCCAGACATCTTGTTAGCTTAAAAAAAATGTTCTTATGAAGCCATTTGGCAAGGTTCATATCATGATCTTTTCAACTCAATCCAATTAATATCTTAAGTTTGTGATTTCAAAGGTGTAAATAATAAAAAATGAATTTCTGTGAAGAAAAAACTAAATTACTAAATGATTTTACTGTTATTTCCATGGTTGTGCCATTAAATGACTTCAGAGTTCACACCTGGAGGTTGAGTAATTCATTCACTCCAATGCAAGTACCCATATCTCTCATACACAATCCTGCAACGCACACTAAATCTTCATCAAGCAGGGGCTGACTGTTTGTGGAAGAGACTATGTCGTCCCATGTCACAGACGGCAACAAGATGTCAGAAGCTGTCAGAAAGCTAAGAGTCAAGTCTATAGTATAGAGCATGTTTCATACTGTTCGGATTGTCGTGTTGTCAGGTGATAAATTGAACCAGTCGTAATAAATTTCTTGGGCAATGAGCCGCTTCCAGATATTTCAAGTGAACAAATTTTATATATTGCTACTCAAGCATCATTGTAGATCAAAGTGAAGTATGTCCACACTGCTCACGCTTATGTGTGGCTGCTTATCCACGTTGTGTGGACAAAACGGACATTGACACAGTCAAAACAAGTAATCAAAGATGCGTTAATTAAATTTTTGGCCGAAACCAAAAATTATTTTTTTCACCCTCAACATCTCCGTGTTTTTTGTACATACAATGAAAGTCACCCCAATGACTTTAAATGTAGAGACAAAAACAGTTGGAAGATTCTTCTGGACACTGACAGAGTCAAAATGTCATTGGAGACAAGCTAAATAAACCTCAACATTTTTTTGTTTGCCATTTTGACTGGATATTTTCAATTGCCACAATTTTGTTGGATCGGTACTTTTTGTCCAAACCAACTGGACCCCACTTACTTTCACTGTATAGACAAAAACACTGAGACACTTAAAAACATCTCCTTTTGTGTTCCGCAGAAGAAAAAGACCTCATACAGGTTTAGAACAACATGAGAGTAAAGGGCTTTTCACACTGAAAGCGAAAATTCGGCATGAATGTTTGGTGCGATGACGCTTTCGAGTTGAAACAATAGATCCCCTATGGGGCTATTCACACCAGGCGCGATCATTCGCGGTGAAAAAAAAGAGGATATTTTTTTCGTCCTGTGTCGATTTTTTCCCCGTCGCTCCATGATGAAACGGGCCATCCAATCAGATTTGAGCTTAGATCACATGCCCAGAGCAGCTGCTGTTGCACAAAAGGGTGAGAGTGGTGGCGCTGTTTCGACCAGTGTAAACAAACACCGAAGAAGAGTATCCCAGTAGAGAGAAGAGAGTGGATGCCGAGTTCCTGTTATCTTTGGTATCTGAGAGCAGATTTATTCTCACATGTTCTTAATATAATTTCTAAATTCTCGATTGAATTATGTGACCTGGAGTGTCCGTTTTCTTCCACGTGCGCGAGTGTTATGAGTCAGAGCGCGTTAACTCTCTAGATCTTCTGTGTTTAAAAAAAACGAGTGAAACATTTTTCTACACATGAAATATGAAAGCAAATAGACATATGATTATGACGATATATTTTCTGTATGTGTTTTGTATGCAGCTCATGGTAATTTTATAACAATAAAGGATGTTTATGACAATAAGCAGTGTGGCGTTATTAAACACAACGAGTGCATGTCTGCCTAGAATCAAAATCAAATATAGATCACAATCGGGAGTTATTACAAGCACTCGATGGTTTAAAGTGGGTTTTTTAAGCAAATACATTAATAATTACATACATTTTCAAATGTGGCTTGATGCTAATTGTACTTCTATTTATATTTTAAGATGTTTTCTTGTAAGCATTATAG